ATACCGCCAAGGCAACAAATGAGTGGCTCAAGAAGAAGCACATTAAGGTCATGGAGTGGCCTAGCCAGTCTCCAGAGCTCAATTCTATAGAAAATCTGTGGAGGGAGCTGAAACTTAAAGATGCCAAGCGACAGCCAAGAAACCTTAAGGATTTAGAGAGGATCTGATCAAAATCCCTCCTGAGATGTGTGCAAACCTGGTGACCAACTACAAAAAACGTCTTACCTCTGTGCTTGCCAACAAGGGTTTCTGCACTAAGTACTAAGTCATGTTTTGCTTGGGGATCAAATACTTATTTCACTCACTGAAATGCAAATCAATCTCTAACCTTTATTTAATGTGTTTCTTCTGGATTTTTTGGTTGGTATTCTGTCTCTATACTTTAAAATAAACCTACCATAAAAATTACAGACCCTTAATTTTTTTGTAAGTGGGAAAACTTACTAAATCAGCAGGGGATCAAATAAATAATTTCCCCACTGTATCAAGGTCACACACACCTCTCCTGCTCACGGCCAGAAATGTGATTCTGTGAGATTTCCTCCATTTTGTTTCTTTGGTAAGAAAGCCCATGCTAGAATCATAAATGTGATCATGTTTTGACAGTGCAGTGATTGTTTTCAGTGTTACTCACCGAACTGATCTGGATTCTTTAACCACCGGTAACAGATTCTGAAGAACTTCATCTCCAGTAAACTGTTTCAGATCAAACACATCCATCTTCTGCTCTGATGTCAGCAACACATAAACCAGAGCTGACCACTGTGAAGAGGAGAGTTTGGTTTCTCTTATTTCTCCAGATTTCAGATAATCTTGGATCTCCTGCATCAGTGAATCATCACCCAGTTCATTCAGACAGTGGAACAGATTGATGGATTTCTCTGGAGAGCGATTCTCTCTGATCTTCTGCTTGATGTACTGAACTGTATTCTTTCTGTTGTAGGAGCAGCTTCCTGTCTGTGTGAGTAGTTTTCGTAAGAGAGTCTGATTGGACTTTAGTGTAAGACCCAGAAGAAAATGCAGGAAAAGATCCAGATGTCCATTCTTACTCTGTAAAGCCTCACTCACAGCTCTCTGATGCAGAGTAGATAAGCAATCATATTTCTCCCGGTTAAAACTCTTAGACAACAGACTTTGTTTTGGTTGGCCAAACACATTGATTTCCTTGGTTGTACAGGAGAGATGCACATATAGAGCTGCTAGATGTTCCTGAAGGCTCAGATGAACAAAGCAGAAGACTTTCCCCTGATACAAGCCCAACTCCTCTCTGAAGATCTGAGTGCACAATCCTGAGTGAGCTCTGTGTAGATCTCATTCAGCAGTGTTGGGTTTCTCTGCGTCGCTGTTCCCTCATACAGACACGCAAACTTCTTCAGCAGATTTGATCTAAATGTGCTGAGGACTTCATGGCTGTAAAATAAAAAGTTAGTAAGCACAATGTCTTACATATTCTGAATCATATCTTCAAATCATATCTCTTACAGTAATGTTATACCTGAGATCAGGCCGTGAATCTCCACTCTTAAAATCTAATGGCTGATTCATAGATGCGTCACTCTTCATAATCACACAGCTGGACTCTGCTTCTGATCTCTTCTGATGAACTGAACTAAAACAGAGAGATTATAGATAATACATTAAATTACTGTATGCAACAAATAAACTATACATTTATCATTATCAAATTTACATCAAAGAGCACTTTATAGTCATTTTATGTACTGTGTTTGTACAAAAACTGTGAACTGAAGTGAACTGTGATAATATGTGATAATATAAATCACATGCTATAATCATTATTTTATCAGGCCGTGAATCTCCACTCTTAAAGTTTATTGGTGGTTTCATAGACCAGTCACTCCTCACAGACACACAGCTGGACTCTGCTTCTGATCTCTTCTGATGAACTGAACTAAAACAGAGAGATTATAGATAATACATTAAATTACTGTATGCAACAAATAAACTATACATTTATCATTATCAAATTTACATCAAAGAGCACTTTATAGTCATTTTATGTACTGTGTTTGTACAAAAACTGTGAACTGAAGTGAACTGTGATAATATGTGATAATATAAATGTCATGCTATAATCATATTTTAATATAAATGTTATACCTGAGATCAGGCCGTGAATCTCCACTCTTAAAGTTTATTGGTGGTTCCATAGACCAGTCACTCCTCACAGACACACAGCTGGACTCTGCTTCTGATCTCTTCTGATGAACTGAACTAAAACAGAACAGATTTAATACTTTATGATGAGAATCATCTTAATATACTTCAGAAGGTATTTATATGAAAAGCACTTGAGGAGCCTTTATGGTTTTATTGTTTTCAATAAATGTTAAACTTATAAAAACATACAAAATGCATGTTTTTCTACAACATAAAAGCTTGAATGTTTTTACTCAAAGTACCTGAATCCTGGAAAAAAATCATCTCCAGATGTTTGTGTTTCATCCATGATGTTTGATCTCCACCACTGACTCTAGATGGAAGAGACAATCACAAAAATGACAGTAATTAACCCTTCTGCGGTCTTCTGTCATTTCTGGAGAAGTGAAGAAGTTTACGGACCGGAGAAGTTTACATTTTGAATTTTTAAAAATCACAGCTTCATTGGAATGGTGCGAACCTTGGTGAGTTTTATGGCACTTAGAATGTGAACACAGAAAAAAATTGAGGCCATGATTCGAACAGGCTAAGTGGTCGTAAAAAAAAATAGTCACACTCTTGGTCTTCAGTCAAAAATGATCGACCATAGGAAATGAATGGGAAATGGACAAAAACACAACAATTCAGAGAATTTTTGTGTGCACAATCTACAAATCAACCACGATGCAGAAAAAAATTACTCAGCAATGAAGGGGTGAAACTCATCAAAACATCAAGAGTGCAAAACAGACACACCCACTCACACTTATACACACACAAACACCTATAAACTGGTGTGACTTTAACACAGCAAATATGTAAAATAAAATCAATAATTCAACCACAATGCAGGAAAAAAGTGGACCGCAAGGAAGAGTTTACACTCTAAAACATCAAGAGTGCAAAACAGACACATCCACTCACACACACACTCACAGACACACAAACACACACATGCACAATTATACACACTCAAATGGAATAACCATATATCCAAAATGAGTCAGAAGTCTGAAATAAGAGGTTGAAATCAGACCCAGAAGGATTAAACTCTGATAAAGCATTCCTTTTCAATTTTTGTTACATTTTTATAGAATTTTAGTGCTTTGTGTAACAAAATGCTTTCTCTGTGTTCAGGTTTGACTGTAGTAGTAATAATGCAAAAACTGACGCTTCAAATCAACATTTCAAACAAAAAAAATATATAAACCTTGACAAAAAGTAGTCTTTGAGAATGTCTTAATATAAGTGAGCAATTATGTCTAAAAACAACTAGGGAATTCACAAGCCTCTCTATAGAGTGCTATACAGGCATTTAGTGGTTACACCATGAAATTACATGTTTTTCTTGCTTTGCTCTCACCAGGCGGCGCTAATCTGGATTCAGAAATTGGATTTGAAAGGCCTAGTCTCTATTTTAATCTGAAGTACTGCATTAATTGAAAAATAATTTTGAAAAATTAGAAAAAAATTTTTTTTTACTATTTTAAATGCATTTTTTTTTTCATAATTATTGCATAAATATTAATTAGTACCATAAAATTCTCTCAAAATACAAAATAAAAAATATTACTGAATAAAAATATATTACATTGATTTTACTGGGGGGGGGGTCTTGACCGCGAAGACCATGAGTGTGATTCCCAAATGAGGAGCGCACAAGGGTTAAACAGTAATTTAACAATTAAAGATATCTGTATTGTAAAGAATTGTTTCTGTCTGTTTAAAATGGCAAAAGATCAACTCTGCACATTTACATTCACTTTTATACCATTCTCATTACATCCCTCAACTCAACCTCAAGCCCAATTCACACATCAGTGATTAAACTTCTGTAGTTCACTAGTTGATGTTGGTCACTAGTTAATGGGTAAGTAACATACTGTAGACGGTACAATGACAGACACTGACGGACTCGTTTGGTGGCTGAACGGTCCATTGGTCAGTTTGAATAGGTCTAATGACTCTACTGTGCTATATGAATGAGAATAATTCTTCTCTAAGTATTTTACACAATTTTACGTCTCAGGCAAATGTTTTATGCCTATTTGGATATTTCTATCCTAAAACAAGGCAATGATACTAAATGATTTTTAGCAATTGTGATGTGATATTTACAGTCTGTCTCAGCGTTAAAGTATCATGTATTAGTATATGGAAATTGTATGCAGATGAGGTTATTCATCGTAAACTAGGTGTTGTAAGCTCCATATCTGGATATTTCGGGGAGGAGATGCATATAAGCACAATCTTCTGCTGACTAGGATTTCTGAAGGGAATTCTGCACAGGTTCTGGTGAACATATGGTTTTACAAATCTGAAAATGCTAAATCTATCTTTTCTGTGTATGCACATTTTTAGGATAAAATCTAAGTTTTATACGTGATACCCTGGTGTGCCTATTTATGTTGATTTGTGGAACATATAAGCAGATATTCATTTTGTTCCTGGAAATAAATGTAGAGAAGTTTCTGGCTCAAGATTACACAAAGGACAGAAAGGTGATATATTCTTCTTACATTAATTAAGAAAGGCCTAAAATACATTTATTACATTTTATATGACAAATTAATAATTAATTAGGTGAAGCTGTGCACTTGAATTTGTCATCGCATCATACATCCTATGCAGTGTGGTGAATTATTATTGCTCATTATTGTCTATAGGCTATTTTAGTAATTTAAATAACATTAGTTATCTTAATATATTGATTAATGACATTGTATTATAATTTTTCACCACCCAAATATGTATTTAGGCTACTTCCTTCTAATTCTCATTGTCAGTGCAGGCTTGTTTAGCTTATATTGACCGCTATGAAAAGTGATTAGTGTAGCCTACATAAAAAAAAAGCCTTGAACATAAAACAACAGGACAAAAATATAGTTTATGTGTCACGGGTTTGCTACTGTGAAGAGCACGGAACGAGGAGACCAGGAGTACAAACCAAGGAGTTTATTTACATCGCGGGGAATCACACGTAGCACAAGGGAGTTGACATTCACAATACCGGACAACACTAACTAAAAGGACTCACGGACAACACTAACTCAAAGGACTCAGACTTTTACACAGGATGACGAGGGACTAAGGAGACACACCTGGGATCATTGGAAATAACACATGGGAAACACCTGGGATGAAATCAACAAACACCTGGGGAGCAAGACACAGACAAAACATGGAACAGAGTCTGACATTATGACTAGACATAATCATTTCATGACTCTAGACACTTCTTTGTGAAGACAGTGGCATAATACAGTGAAATAATATGTTCTTTTAGCCATACCAAAACAGTAGTCATGTGCGTGGCTAAAATTTACCTGCTGGTGGTTTTAGGTATACAACGACCCCTGGCGGTTCTAATGTTAAACAACAAGCAGGATTTTTATTCACTTCTTTGTTTGGTCATGTGATTTTAATACATTTGAATACATATATAAGTATTAATTATAGAAAAATAATGTGCAGTGCAATGCATTTTTTGTTTAACCCCATTGGTTCAGTTTAATCAATCAGTGTCAGGTGAGGCAGACCTGTCAATAAATATGCTGTCTTGTGTTGGTGAGATGTGATGATTCATGAGTGAAGGGTTTTAGCGCAACAAGGGACCAAATTTGAACTTGTAGCTGCATAAGTGATCGCTTGATCGCATAAGTGGTCCGTTTTCTTGTTGTATTGTTCTCCTGGCTGGAAAATTGATTCATTTTTATAATTTTATTTTGTCATCAATATTGGGAAGATTATCTACACCAATGGGGCACAAAGGTTTGGAGTGAAAAACAAGAGGCCGAGGTCACAGAAGGAGCTGAGAGGCCAGCCGAAGTCCATGAGACAACAAGAGATTGACAAACTTGTGAAAGAAAGGAGGAGCCTGAGAAAACAGTGGAAAAGGCCAGTGAAGCAGAAAGGAAAGGCCTAGAGGTACTACAGGGCGATATCAAACATCGCCTTGCAATGCTACGAAGAGCAGAAAGCTTGAGAAAGCAACGAAAGAAGGAGCAAACCAGGACTGCCTTCTATAGAGTTTACACAGCAGCTTATGTGGCACTGTCCCAAAAAGAAGGAGCAAACCAGGACTGCCTTCTATAGAGATCCTTACAAGTTTGTCAGTAGTCTCTTTAGCAAGGAGAAAACCGGTACCCTTAAAGTACCCATTGCGGATCTTGAGGAACACCTGAGGAAGACTTATTCTGACAATCAGAGGCACAAGCTAATCTCCATTCTAGAAGACATGCCACCAATTCAACTGCCGGAGCACCAGATGGACATAAGGCCCTCTAAATGGAGCGAAGTTGAGAGTGCGGTAAAGCGGGCAAGATCAGCATCAGCCCCTGGACCCAAAGGTATTCCATACAAGCTCTACAAGAATGCCCCAGGAGTTTTGAGGTACCTTTGGAGATTAATGATAGTGGCATGGAAAAAGCAGGTGATACCAAAAGCCTGGAGAAGGGCTGGAGGGATTTTGATCCCCAAGGAAAAACATTCGGCAACTATTAACCAGTTTCATCAAATTAGCCTCCTGAATGTGAAAGGTAAGATTTTCTTCAGCGTTGTGGTGCAGAGACTGTCAGCGTTCCTGAAGAACAACAACTTTGTGGACACCTCAGTGCAAAAGGCAGGCATAGGAGGCTCCTCGGGATGTTTGGAACATGCTAACATGATTTTGCACCAGTTGCAAATGGCCAAAAAGGAGAAGAAAGACCTACATGTGGTGTTCTGAGATCTTGCCAATGCCTTTGGGACAGTGCCACATAAGCTGCTGTGGGCAGCATTCGATTTCTTCCATGTTCCAGAACAGATAACAAAGTTGATTAAAGCCTACTTTCAGGATATTCAGGTCTGTATTACCATACAGGATAGTACCACCACCTGGCAGCAGCT